CTCCCTGAGCAGGGCGGGGCGAGCGAGTGCTCCGCATTGAACCCGCTCGCCGCGAACCCAGGCAGCAGGGCAGGCGCGTGCGCGCACAGACTGGGCGGGCAGGTGCAGTCTCTTGGGTGCTACAGACTCCTGCTCCGAGGGCTGCGGGTTTAGCTCTTATTGGCTCCTTCCAGCGCTGAAGAACTGTAGGGCTTGTGTAATCCCACAGGGTGTCTAATCCCAGATGATGGAGTTACCAGGCACTGCCCGTAATTTAAACTGCGATGAATGATAATCCCAGGCCCAGATAGCTCTAGGTATACACTAGCAGATTTCCCCAAATTGCTCAGCTCCTTTACCCAAAGAGTTTTTTTAATAAAAGGAAAACGTACATGCTTTTTTAAATTGTTATATTTTTCAAAATACAGTGTTATTGTGAATCATTTTTATTTTGATTTCTTTAAAAATGGATGGTTAATATTTGTCCTTTTAATTTTTTATGGATTTTTGTAAAATGGGAATTCCCTTTTTATTTTCTTCATCCCTATAAACTCTTATCATTTGCTATGTTTTAACAAAAAAGGGTGGTTTCCAATAACTTTGTGGTATACTTTTCAAACTTTAAACATTGATGTAGCTGTGCCAAAACAGGGCACAACACCACATTTCTCCGTTTTCTCTCTTTTCCGAAAGGTTTATTGAGAAGCAATCCTATTCCAGGTTCATCCTATGCTTCTGGCTCATCTTAGTTGCGTCTCTTTCAATATTTGCTCCACTCTGTCTATTATTATTGATTTGGTGATTCTGTCTCATTTCTGGTTTTTTGTTTGTTTGTTTGTTTGTTTGTTTGTTTGTTTGTTTGTAAGAAGCAATCCCCATTTCAGGTGCATCCCAAATACTTACCTTGCTTTTAATTATGATAAGAGGAAGACGTATACTGAATTTGGTGGTATAGCATGGGCCGGCCTGAGCCCTTTTGGCACCCTGGGCCAGGGTGCGCAGCATTGCCCCCGGGCGCAGGGTGCATGCGCGGGCCCGCCCATGGAGCACAGGCCCGCCCCCCCCAGGGTGTGGGGCCTGCCTCCCAGGGCGCATGGCGCATGCACTGCCCAGCCTGGCCCGGCCAGTGCTACTGGCACACGCGCCAGGTTGTGCAGGTGTAGTGTGGTTACTGAGTACTGCAAGTGGCACCTAGACCACTGCAACAGTTAAGATCAAGAGACCTCTACAGCATGGGCTGGGAGCCAGCTGGCTTTTAGCTCAGAGGGTAGAGGTTCCTCTAGTCAGCTCCTAAGGTCCCAGGTTCAGATCTGTCTTGGTGGTGGTTACACAGGGCCCCACAGCCATGGGGGGAAGGGCGCTGGTGGCCGGCACCACGCGGATGTGGGCACGTGGCTCCTGATGGCAGCTGTAAGGGATGCCATGTGGTTGGCACCCTAGGCAGCTGCCCAGCTCGCCCATGCCTCCGTCTGGCCCTGGGTATAGCTCTTATATTTAGAAGGAGTTTTTGATCAAACAGACAAACTCTCTAATCTACTATATAGTTGAGAGAATTTGTGCATCTTTTTGCCTGTGTATCCATCCATCTATCAGTGAGTCCTTTTGTTCAAGAATTCCTAAGCTGTAAGAGCTAGGACAACCAAATTTGGTATGCAGTTTCCTCTTGTAACAGAAATGGAAGGGATAGTTATACACCTGAATGACCTCAGAGCAGCAGCAAACATGGAGAACAGTAATACACCCCAATAACCATTGCAGGTGGGAGAAAGCCACCGGTGAGGCATCACAGCCTCCAACACCCTGGCTAGCAGCCAACATCTGGGCCATGTGCCCCCCCCACACACACACACACACACACTGACCTGGGCTAGTCTCACCCCTTATCTGAGCCCACCCATCCCCTGATCTGACCCCTGCACCTGCCACCTTGCCCAAACTCCTCTTCACCCTCCAAACCTGAGTCCTGCGCCAAACACACCTCAAGCCCCTGCCGTGAAGGACCCAAGCAATTCCAGGTAAATCTTCTACATATTTGGGTTCTGGTCCATACCCAGCGAAAGTAGTTGGAGTCTTACTAATGGGCTTTGCATCAGGCCTTTGATGCACGGTGGCATAATAATTGTAGTTCTTCTGTATAAAATCTAGTGGAGTGCCAGGAAGAAAGGACGTGAAGAAGAGCCACATGCTGCTCAAGATGAAGACAATAGGAAAATGTAATGTAACACTGTGACGTAGTGGGGGTACCTGGCTGGTTTCTATGCTGCTGGCTCTGGGGTAACCCCCACTGGCTGCCGTGGGTACCACCACCCAGCAAAACAGGATGAGTCACTATGCAAAGGGATCTCTCAACCAGTATGGCCAGACACCCCCCATGGAGAGGAACAAAGGAAGGTGGAATGCTGCCCTGACTGGGGGGGGCAGGGCTGGAAGAGTGTTGGTTAGTTGCTGTCTGGGAGCATGGAGGAGACAGCCTAGGGAAAGGGGCTGGAGTTTAGGGGCCCAGTCTCCCCCATCTCAAGGGGGCCTGAGGCATCCTAGCCCAGCTCTGTGACC